AATCAACAGCAAGTAAAATAAGTACGTAATAGTGTCTAAGGGCAGCTGTTTAGTAATAAAAACAGCTTGTGCGTGGTACTTGCTGACGAGGGGTGTGTACTGTCAACGACCAGTACCTTGACCGCTTTGCGGCGTCTACCGCTTCATGGGCACAAGGTTCTGGTTGCACTACTACTTCAAGCAGATGAAATACATAATCACAGCCACCATAATAGAGCGAAAGGAGTGAAGTTCTTTCAAACGAGAATTTGTGACTAAATTCGTTTCGTTGCAGATTTCCATGGAAAACTGGCAGCAGTATTTTACGGAACCAGTTAACCCCCTGACTACGGTAAGTTTCTTGTGCTCAGCGCCTTCTTTTGATGTTGATTTTTGATGCCTACCACTTAAACGTGGCTATATGTGTCTGTGTCCTAATCTTGTCCCGCATCATTGAGCATCATTGTGGCGCATCACTCGGGTTCATCCATCATAACTGGAAGCCCTCTTTGACACTCAAAAACAACGATGACGCACATCGAGTCAGAACTTGAGCTGCTGTGAATAATTGCTCTGTGAAAAAGCTTGAAGGCAAGTGGCACGATAAATCCCCAAGACGGGTAGGATTAATCCGCCTAGCAAGACTGAAACGCCTGCGCGGCGCTTTTTTTCCAATAAAGGTACCCTTATAGCGCCCTACCAAGCTGCAACATGCCGACTCGGCCCCACCGCGTCGCCCACAAGTGTTCAACCGGTGCGGTGCTCGTATCGCATCATTTGCCAACTACAGTATCAAGCGAAGGGATTGGTATGAAGCGACTGCTATACTGCATGGATATATGAGTACATACATGCAGCCGTATCTACCGTAGCGGTTATTGGCACGATGCCAACGGGAAACTCGTCCGAAATGCTTTCTGAGTCGCGTAAACAAAGCTTTTTCGCAGGTTTTTGAGTGTTTCACTTTGCTTTTTCGCCAGTTTCCCCTATTATTAGCACCCCTGCTACCATTTTAGACCGAGTAAAGAATTTATCGTGCCTCATGCCTCGAAGTGCAGTCCTGGAAAGCCAATAAATTTCGTTTCAGGAAGATCGTAAAGAATGGTTGGCAAAGCAGACCGGGGTGGTGATGAGCTCAGATGCCTTCCTTCCATTCAGAGACAACATAGACTGTGCCAAACAGGTAAACAGCCGTTAGCCTGACAAATTAACTCATAATATTGGGGTTACTTCAGTTTGGAGTGATGTACATCGCGCATCCGGGTGGCTCGGTCCGAGACGACGAGATCATTGAAGCTTGCGATGAACATGGCATCACACTTATCCACACTGGTCTTCGCCTCTTCCACCACTGACCACTCTGGTCCTGCCGAACCCATTTTATACAGTTTCAAGCTGCTCGCCAGATCATCAAATTGAGAGCTATAGCTTTAGAGCTAAAGAGGTTTTGAGTTACCACGTGTACGTGTGAGTCCCTGTGTTTTTAGCGGGAATGACTTTTTATTATTAATGTTCGACATATTCACTTGATTTTATTCACATGAAAGTTTTAGATGTATCCAGATTTCATCTATGTATAAATGTGTTCTTCAGTGTGATACTTTGAATGAGCTCATGAAAGCAGTTTGTCTACAGAGGGATCACTTGAACCCTCTGTAGACAAACTGCTAGTTATCCCGTTCGGCTCTGGTTGACACTCCATTCTGATAAATAGGGAAATAGCCTCGCAGTGTTAATCTTTAAATGGGGAAGAACAGGCGTAGACAACAATACCCACCCTAATCCCCTTTAGAAAAGACCAAAAAAGGAAAAGCTCTGATATGCGTCGCCTTTTCGCTAAAACTCGAATCGTTCCCAAATCTTCTACATACCATTTTCACTTGAAATTCACCACTTTTCAAGAGAAAACCACGACTTCACAAACCAGTTTCACCTTACTTTTTCCATCGAACATTTAAGGCAAGTGCACGATAAATCTCCAGCACGAGTAGGATCAATACGCCTAGCAGGACAAAATTCGGCCGCCCTGAGCAGCTGCGTGGTTTTCCGAGGAGGGTTCCTAGATAGCGCCCTACCAAGCTGCTGCACATACCGACTCTGACGTCCACCGCGCCCGCCCACAAATGTTTGGCTGATGCTGATGCTCGTAACGCTTCATTTGCGAGGTGCAATATGGAGCGAAGGGATTGTTATGAAGCGTAGACGCTACCGTGGACACGGCTGCATTGGTATGCGTGGCTACCATACCGTCACGCACCGTAGCGGCTACTGGAGCGACTGAAATAGGAAACTCTTCTGAAAACGCTCTGTGAGTAGCGTGGAACATAAGCTCTTTCGCAGGTCCCTGACCATTTCGCTTCACTTTCTCACCATTTTCTCACTATAACACCCTACTGCCATTCAAACCAAGTACCAAATTATCGTGCCCTATGCCTTTAGCCACATCGCGCTAGACAAGCCGCAAGCCCTACTCCTACAGCCGCGCCTACTTCTTAGCGCGGTCATGACTTTTCAAGTTTTATAATGCAACTTCCGCCTCTGTATCTTTTTTTCTACTTTTGCTATTTCTCGACTTCGCCCTTTTTTGAAGTTGAAATTTCGGTCTCTTACACCTCTTTCAAGTCACTGTTTTTACACCCACTCTTCACACAATGAAGGCAAAGGTGATGTCTGTGTTCAGGTGAGTCTACCTCTGAGAAAGAATTCCTTGCCATATGGAAGTCCTGTCCCTTGGGATCTTTCGGGCGGTGAAAGGTTGAATGTTGCTGGATTGTGTAATTACCCTCCAGATGCGGCGAGCGCCGCAAAAGGGACGTTGTAAGCGCAGGATTATTACCGGGACCCAGACGACACAACGTGTCAGTGCTGCTTTGTTTCAAGACAAGTAGCTAGAAAACATCTGGTAGTTTGCGCGGAATGCCAAAATGATGGGCCTCGGGACAAACGACAGCGATATACGTGAATGTTGCCAGTAATAAAATGCGCGTTGTTTTGCCTTCGTTATGTTTTGTGAATATGGGCGGAGATGGTTGTCTGGCAGCGGGACCCCGAGCGTCTAGTAAATCCTGGATGAGCTCTTGCCTGGACCAATCAAGACTTCCATCCTTTTGAGAATTTGGAATTGACACCAGATTCGTCTAGGAGGATAAAAACAGTGGTTTGTTCATCGGCTGGACCATGGAATAGAACACATCGAACAGGACAAGTACCATTCAAAACGGTGTCGCGATTCTGAATGGAAATAAGAGTCCCAGAAAGTGATCGATGACACTGAAGGTCCTATACTTTGCGGTTAAAAATAATAGTTCTTATAGTAACATCAAGTAGTTGAATTCTCCAGCGCGTGAATATCATCTCTGTGCAAAACCCCTCGTTCAGAAGCCACACATTTAAGAGGCACGACCGTGCACGCACGACTCATGCAATCACAGTTGCAATTTTCAAGACATAAAGAAAAAATGTTGCCTGCTCATGGGAGCTTTTTTTACAACTGCTTGATTCATTTATGTAAACCAAAGTTGATTTCTATGAGATTCAATGAAGAGTGCTGCTACGACGACGATCTCCTGGTACGTGAAGGTGACTGCTCGACAGACGAATACTGTGTCTTTTTCGGATGAATACGACTCTCTGTGGTGATTCGTCTCTTTTCTGGAATTCATAGTGGAATTAGTGGATGTGAAATTTTGCATTTTCATTCATTTGTTATCCTCTGAATTCATTCGAAGGAAAGCAGATGATACAAAGAAAAGCAATTCTGAAGTATCAAAGTGCAATTAATCTACAAGTGTAATAACATGCACATAGATCAGCTAGCAGATCCAAACTGCAGCGACGTCAGTGGATCGCCGCACACACTCCAGCACTTCCACCCCTGAACTATTTACGTCCTGGTGCGAACACCGTGAATGCGACTCCACTTAGGTTGCGTTCATACTTTGCGGCAGCGTCCACCAGTGTCCACTACCGTTTCGAGCATCCGCCAGCGTCTACCAGCGTCCACCAGCGTAGCGAGGTCTGAGAAATATACAATCCTCATCATTACGGACTGTCGGGGCGTGTCAGTGCGGCTGCGTTTGGCGCGGTGCCAAAGTCGTTCTGCACCAGTTGTTGAAGCGGGCAAGTGACATTACTGTATTATATCCTTCGTATTACTCGTTTTCTACCACTTTTTGTCGCATACGCGTTTCAACAAAAAGGCTGAGAACGGCTTCAACAGTGTGCGCACTCCTACTGGCTGACACGCCCCGACAGTCCGTAATGATGAGGACAGTAGGTATCGATCTAGCGTCCACATTCGTCTACCAGCGTCCGGGATAGAAGAGTATGGCGCGACAGGAGGGTCGCAGACAGCTGGTAGAGTATAGGGAGATAGGAGGGTGGCAGATCGCTGGTAGGAGTATGGCGCGATAGGAGGGTACCAGCTGTCTGCTACCCTCCTATCGCGCCATACTCTCCTCTCCCGGATGCTGGTAGACCTGGTGCACGCTGGAACACGCTGGCAGGTTAGATCGATACCTGCACTTCCAGGCCCTCGAGACGCTGGTAGACGCTGGCGTATGCTGGGAGACGCTAGCAGACGCTAGATCAAAGTCTATACTTTCCCAGTCGCTGACGCTGAGCGGACGCTCGAAAGTAGACGCTGCCGCAAAGTATGAACGCAGCCTTACAAAGCGGCTTTCACTGCGTCGCGGCAATTTGAGTTTTCTCAACTATGCCTTTGACTTGAGTTTGATTTCTTTGTTACATACTCCTGCCGCTAATGCAATTTTTGTGAAAAAGCATGATCTAAAAATGCGAGAAAGCAAAGCCCTAAGTGAGAAAAGCAGCTGGAATAAGTCCTTCCATCGAGATTTTGGTCTTTAAAAGGCTGATGTAAGAAGAAAAGAAATTAAAAATAGAGCCACGAAGTCAGTCGTTTCCGCGCCGACGTGAACCGTTGTGAGGAACCACTAACGTCAGATTTGAGTCGTACGACAAACGCTCGACGAGCTTTGTCACTTCGAAGTGGACGTGAGTAGCTGTAGATGGCCATTTTCCGCTCCGCGTTTGTTAATGTTTGTTCCAGCATCAAGATCACCTGCGCCCACTGAAAAATTCTGAATTGTAACGAGTATATCCTTCCGCGGCTAACAACTTTGAGATCAATATAACTTGATGAGGTTGGGTTTACCTTAATTCTGCTCGCAGGCTCGTCTCATAACCAGAAGGTGTGTATTTGCTCGGAGATATCAATATCGCGAGGGGGTGCCCGAGTATAGATCGCCCAGGGATATTAACCAACGAAACGGCGTGCCAGTGAGAGGGTTTGCGCGCGACAGCGGTACATCTATTCTTTCGAGAAACGACAGGACAGCGTCATATCGTTTGTGTCCGTTATTTTTCATCGACTGTTGTCGCTTACCTGGTGTAGAACGGGCTTGCGGCGCGCCAAACCCAGTCTCTGACACGCCCCATCACCTACAACGAACAGGGCTGCTTACAGTTGATAACATCGCAAATAGTCAGGGCATTTCAAAAGTGATGTAATGAGCCCGCCCCGGTCACTACTGGTTGCTTTTTTGCTGAATGGATTACTAACCGTCCACCATGGTAGAGCGAGGCAGTCGAAGGCAGACTCTTTTTGTCCCTCCTGCTGCCGCCTAATTGCATCGTTATCAACTATATATGCTTTAAGGGCAGGCCAGAGGACAGATCACTGGGAGATACTGCTCAGCGGAGATACTACTAATACTGTCCTTCTGAACATTATCGTCGTGATGAAAGTGCGGGTGGCGCAACAATGGAGCACTTCTTCACCACAATGTTTTTGGACATCGATTCTGTGAAGCTTTGTCCTTTCGGAAAGAATGAACTGACCCCAACTGCGGCGTTGCCCTACTGGTTGTTTCTTCCTAGATTTAGCACTAGCCGATCACCACTGCTAGATCAAGGCAGTCGGAGGCGTTCTCATCCCGCCCTCCTCGCAGCCCTTGTCTGATTGCAGTGTTACAAATTATATTGGTTGTTACTACTTGTAAGGGATTCCCTATGAAATATGTAATGTAAAGTTTGTGATGCGCAGTCATCTTTTTTGAAGTATTGCGAACAATGTTGCATTATAATTTTGAATTGTGAATGTTTACATGTTCTAACATGGAGCTACTCCTCCGTCGTCCGTATTGACTGAGATCCAGCAATGTAGTTCCCGCGCGATTTGACTGAGCAACATATCTTACCAAATTGTATTTCTCCACCCTCTGGTTGTCTAGCCTCACCCAATTAAGGCCGTGTCTCTTGTGCAGAAATCAGTCATTTGTGGTATTCTCGATTGAGCTGGCTGCCCTAGACTACTGCCTATCAAGAAGCCGAGTGAAGGGGTGAGTAATCACTCTTGTTACTCTCTTTAGAAGAGCTACAAAGCTCTCATTACAATTTATCTCAAGTAATTACTACTGTCATTTCAGAAACCGGCTTACTTAATCCTATGGTCGGTTTTTGATCGATTAGGATAAAACGTCATATTGGTGCCTCAACCTGTTTCTGGGTTATTTCAGCTCATAAGGGTCCTCTCCAGCGCCTGTTCTTGCACACCACTCTATCCTTTAAGACCATTCCGAATTTCATCTGTTTCTTATGCTGTTTCGGAGCAAGGTTTCTGGGGATATCTGTAACAGTTTTATTGAATCCATTTAAAGGGAGAGAACGCGCCTGTTTCACGTCGGAAACTGGATTTGCACTAAATGGACTAACACTTGTGGGACACACATGTTGCACAAGTCTTGTGTAGTGGCCCCACCGCACCTGCCACTGTCCGCCAACACGAGTTGATGGTAGCAAAATAACCAAAGACCATTCCCAATGTTTAGTGTTTCCAAGATCATCTGGCATCCAGACAGAAAAAACCACCTGACGTTTCCATTCCTTTTCCGTTTCGGCGATTTTTTCGTAGGTTCTGGTCATCATAGCGATCAGCAAATTTAGTAGCATAAGTGTTACTAGCAACTCATAGATGGAGAAAAATACCTGGAAGTTGTAGCGTATAGCAAAGAGTGTGAGAAACCAGACATCAAGCTGTCAGATCTGTACCTTGCCCTGAAGTGACACGACGCTCTTGCAATCATTGAGATTCTTGTAGAATGCGCCAAATTCACCAACACTCATAATGATCATTCGCATCAGGGCTTCGCGTGGTGAATCCATAATATTTTCAAATCTGAAAACTGAAAATCAGCTCCGTTCCCTTGCAGGCACTACTTGCGCACTATTACTTATACACGTTACCCTCGTTCGAGCTTGTGGGCGAAAAAAATGTTTCTAGCATCTTAATAACGTGAGTGAACACGCGCTATGTGGGAGACGAGCGAATTCTCCACTGTAGTAGTGCCCCGCTCCCGTCATCCGGAAGGGCGCTAAAATGAGGCTGGAACGTAGTAGAAATGGTCGTTCCGGTCTTCAACTGACGCCCACAAGCGCATGGTTGATGTCGAGGCTGTGCATGGAACAACTTAGGCAGCAAGCTGTCTATCGTTGTCAAGTATAGAGAACGACAACTCCCTAAGCAAATGACAGAGGCACAGACAAGAATTGAGCGATTGACTTGACTAGGTGCAAGTGGTTGCGCGGCGTCACGTGGTGCGTGCTATGTCTGCGAACGATCCCCA